GGCAGTCTGTTCCCTTACACTTTCTTTTAACGAAATGTTTTCATCTTTTTCCATATTTCTAACTGTTGGATAGATGTGGACTTGCCAACTATGCATCTTATCTTTCAATTCATTTCTTTCCTGTTTTGTTTTTGTTTGTTTTGCGAGATAAGGTCTCACTATGTAGCTAGCCCTGGCTGCCTGGAAACTCATTATGTAGTCCAGGCTGGCCACAAACTCAGAGATTCTCCTGCCTCTGCCTCCCAATTGCTGGGATTAAAGGCGTGTGTCACTACTGTCCGGCAATGTTTTTCATTTTTAGAAATTGTGTGTGTATAGGTGTTTTGCATGTTGTCTGTGAACCACATGTGTGCAGTGCTTGTGGACGCCAGAAGAGGGGCCATCGGTTCCTCTGGAAATAGAGTTCGGACCTTGTGAGCTGCCATGTGGGTGCAGGGCTCCAACCCAAGTTCTCTGCTCTTCCGATAATCACCTCTCAGCCCCTTATATTTTAAGAGTGAGCTCAGGTGCTGAGGGGGCAAGCACACATTTGCACCACAGTGTGCAGTGGAGGTCAGAGGTCAACTTTTTCCAGTCCTTTCTCCTTCCTCCTTGCTTTGAGGGAGTTGCCTTTATTTCTGCCATCGTGTGGTGTGCTCCAGGCTAGGTGGCCTGTGCATTCTGGCCGATTCTCCTGTCTCTGCCTCCCATCTACTCTGGGCCTGCCTTACAGACGCATGTGTCTGCATTTAGCTTTCTATGTGACATCTGGGGTTTGAACTCGGGTCTTCAGGGTTTTTGTGTCAAGTGCTTTGGCTGGGTGAGCCATCCTCCCAGGTTGTATTTCTTACTTGGGTGGGGGTGTCCCTAAGTCATCAACACTCTTTCCTTTCTTAGTACCAGGCTTCTCAGTTAACTCATTCACTGCCGTTCTGTTTGTTCTTCCCTACCTTCCTTACCATGATAATTATATCCAATTCTTTCCTTTAGAATTACCCTGGATATTATCTGTGTCATGGGCCTGGCTATTATAAAGTTATGATAGTATTCTTTATCCCATGTCACACAGCACTGTCTTGCATTTATTTGCCTGTGTCCTCACTGAAGTGTTTCCTCCAAGGGAGTTTTGAATGAAGGCATTCATGTGGTAGAGAGCTTTTCAGAATGTGGGCAGTCAGGAACAGTTTTCTCCTTTCTCATGTGAAGCACTAGCCTGCCTGAATATATAAATCTGTCTTCAGAGGTTTTCCCTCACCGTGTTGGAAATATTCACTCCTTGTCCCCTAGTCTGGTGTTTCTAGGAAGACACTGGCTGCAATGAGCTCCTCGCTCCTTAGGAGACATGTTCTCACTGGAGGCTTTAATAGCGGTTATTTTCTTTTCTTTCCAATTTTTTTTTTTGCTTTGGTGTTTATAATTTTTTATGACAGCTACGAGTGGGTGTGTGTTTTCTTTAGCTGCGTGTTCGGAACACCAGGTGGTTGATTGTTGTTTCTGAGCTCTTTAATAATGTACATTTCTCAGCTATTGCCTTTCCAAAGACGCCTCTCACCTTTTATTCTCCTGCGGGGACTTCTGTTGAGCAGGTTCTGGTCCTCTGGCCTGAGTCCCTGTCACCTTGGCCTGTGTCCCTGTCATCTTGCTGCCCCCATTACCCTCACCTTGCTCTTATTAATTTTGCTTGCCTTTTCTGTTTTTTTTAACCTGATCCTTTAGATCACTGATTTGTTTTGAGTAATATTTGTCTTACTGTCGAACCTGTCTGTTAAAACAGAATAGAGATGAAGAGGAACGCTTTATGAGTTTCTGCAGCTTTTCTCTGTAGACTAGGTGTATCCCTGCCAGTTTGTGGACTTGCTTTTGAGAGTTGAGGATCTAATCCACGTGATGCACTTACAGCAGGACTGTTTAGAGGAAGCAAGGGCTGATTCTCTCTTCGTATGTTTGTTCTTCATGCCAGCCCCTCCCCCTGCCCTTAATAACTGTCTTTGCTCTTTTAAGGCTACTCACCTTTTTGGGGACGTCTGTCGTATTGTTGGCGTTCTTAGTTTCCTGTCTGGTGCCTCTGCTTTCTCTGTCACTGTCACAGGCAGTCCAGCCTGTTGCCCTTGTTTGAGCGGCTCTAGTCTCTGATGTCAAATTATTGTTTTCTTTGACTATATATTTTCGGGGTGGGGGGATCTCAGCTTCTCGTGTGCCAGTGCCTGTAGGTTAGTGAAAGAGTTGCTGTACAGCTCAGTGGTAGAGTGGTGTGGTACTCAAAAGCTCTGGGGTCAGTCCCCCATTCACAGACGCACACACACATCACACACATCACACATCACACACACCGCACATCACACACACCACACATCACAGATACACACATCACACATACCACACATCACACATACCACACATCACACATACACACATCACACATACACACATCACACACACCACACATCACACACACCACACATCACACATACACACATCACACATACACACATCACACATACACACATCACACATACACACATCACACATACACACATCACACATACACACACCACACACACCACACACCACACATCACACATACACACATCACACATACACACATCACACATACACACATCACACACACCACACATCACACACACCACACATCACACACACCACACATCACACACACCACACATCCCACACACCACACACACCACACATCACACACACCACACATCACACACACCACACATCACACACACCACACATCACACACACCACACATCACACACACCACACATCACACACACCACACATCACACACACCACACATCACACACACCACACATCACACACACCACACATCACACACACCACACATCACACACACCACACATCACACACACCACACATCACACACACCACACATCACACATACACACATCACACATACACACATCACACATACACACATCACACACACCACACATCACACACACCACACATCACACATACACACATCACACACACCACACATCATACATATACACACACCACAATTCACACATACATGCATACACACACCACACATACATGCATATACACACATACCACACATAAACATACACATGCATACACCACACACACACACACACACACACAGCTACCATAAGAACTTGACAGGGAAAGCAATGATGGGGAGATAAAGGGAAGGCCTGGTCTTTGCTAGGATTTACAGAAGATGGGCCGGGAGAGCTCCAGCCTGCCATCCTCTGGGCTTTCCTTACCACACTGGACTCTGCCTCGCAGTGCCTCTCTCTGCATCTGGCATCCAGGCCTGTGTTTTCTGGGCTTTGCTCTCCTCGGTGGTGCTACCTCACGATGCTGGCCAGTGACCAGTGTCCTGCCCATACCAACACTGTCTGGGCTCTGCCCTCCACCGTGTGCTTACGTACCACCTGCTGCCAATCTTTGATTCTGCGGGCATCCATGGCCCATGGTGCCCTTTTTCTGCATAGCTTTTGCTGCCAGGAGAGCCCAGCTCCCCTGAAGGAATGATGGAGGAAACTACGCAGTGCCGCCTGCCAAAGCCTTCCCCAAATTCTCTTGTGGACCTAGACTTTCTTGCTCTCTGAGCATGTCTGCCTGCACACCTTCTATCCCGACAGAGTTTCTTGCCAGCGCCATATCTAAGTCCATATTTCTTTCCCTCTCAACTTTATAGAATCTGGGTTAGGAGAGGAGCCCAATTGTCCTTGTCAATTCTCCCCTTTCTTATGGTTCTATCTATCTACCTACCTACCTACTTACCTACCTATCTGAATATATATACAGATAGATATGGATACACATTGTTTCTATACTGAAATCCACATATATTGGGCTTTTTGCATATATGAACATGGTACTCATGTATGTATGTATGTACATGTGTTCATATGTGTATGAGGGTGCACATGCTCGTGTGTGTGAAAGCCTGAGGTTACTGTCAGGTACCTGTCTTCCTTGATCACTCTCCACCTTATGTATTGAAGTGTGGTCTCAGACTTGAACTTAGAACTCAGCCATTCAGCTAGTCTGGCTAGCCAGACTGCTCTGGGAACCACCTATCTACCTTCCCTGTGCTTAGATTATAGGCAGACTGCATGTCCACCTGGCTTTCATTCATTCATCCATCCATCCATCCATCCATCCATCCATCCATCGAAACACAGAGAGTCTGTGTTCGTCTGGGGGTTTGTGCCTGCCACTGTGCATATTATAGAGGTTAGAGGACAATTTTAATGAGCTAGTTCTGGCTACCATGTGGGTCTTAGGGAACAAACTCAGGTTGTCGGGCTTGGCTGCAAGCCTCATTACTTGCTAAGCCATTTCTTTGGCCCCCATCCAGCTTTTCTCCTGCAGGTTCTGGGGGTTCTGAGCTCCAGTCCTCACACTGAAGTGGCAAGTTCTTTATCTACTGAGCATCCACCTACCTGTCAGGATGTTTTTTAAAACTAAAAAATGGTTCATGGTTTTTTGGTAGCTCTGCAGGTTGGTTCATCTTTGTTTGACCCTGAAGGATTAAGGGAATGAAATAGACTTGAAGAGAAAATTGTGTTTGAACGTCGGCCTTCATTCTCCCACCTTGGACCAACAGTGTAATAAGACTTCCTGTAGCGTGGGGGTGCTGACAATGTGTTGGCAAATTATCACTTTGCTAGGAATTCTATCTCCTTGTCATCATTTTGTTTGTGTTTTCTAACGAGACTTGTTCTATTAAACTGTTAGTTCATCCGAAGGCAGTTGGCGTTGGACAGATGTTAGATGCTTTAGATGTTAGATGCATTATGTGTATGGTAGGACATGGAACATTGTAGTTGAGAGTTATGGTAGAAAGCACAGGTCAATTCATGAATTAAAGCCAATTGTGTTTGTCAGAAAATAAGTCTTTGGTTTCTTCCTAGGCAGGAGGACCACTTTGGGGTTTTTGTCTTTTTTTTTTTTTTTTGTGCTTATGCTTCTTCTGATGTTTGTTTCTGCCCACGCTGAAGATGAACAGCAGCCAAAAGGGATTGCTGCCAGAGCCGAATCCGGTACAGATTATGAAAAGTTTGAACAATCCTGCCATGCTCCAAGTTCTTCTGCAGCCCCAGCTGTGCGGACGAGCAGTTAAACCAGGTGAGCGCGCACGGCCTGCTTGAGTGCAGGCGGCGGCATGGTTATCCTGCCGCATTCCTGTATGCGGAATGTAGGAAATACTTTACGGGTTGAAGCACACTTAACACTTGTCCAGCTCTTTCCTAAGAACTATTAACAATCATTAATTGGCTATCTAAGATGGTTATCTGAGATGGTTCTATGTCTTGGTTATTTCGTAAGTACAATTTACTTTTGTGTCCGTTTCCTGTGCCGTTAGTAAGGTTCTAACTATTAAACCTTCTGTTGCGGTGAACTTCTAAACCCAGTAACAGTGACACGCCACTATGCCACCTGGGTGAGCCAAGTGTGGAACATTCCTTTGTAATCATTGCGGTGATTTATCTTGTGGAATGTGCTAATTTGTTTCTCCGTGTCCGTCTTTCTCTGTCGTAAAGGACGAAGTAGTTTCCCTCTGGACCAGATGACAAAAGCATCATCCTCCAGTTACCCAGATCTGTGTATGGTCGCTGTACTTTGATTGTCAGAGTATTCGGTATTCTTTTTCTGGTATTTCCTTTGAAACAAACAATTTCACATACACAAGCTTTCTGTGTTAGCGTTATGAGGAAATGCGGAAGTTTAGAGTAAATATATTTAGTGTAAGCGTGCTCGGTGTGTTTATTCCAGTTCAGTCCCAGCTGGCCTAATGCCGACTCCCACCCGAGGCAACACAGACCCACAAGTTAAGGTCACTGCCTCTGTGTTGCTGTCCCCTAAGTCCCCGGCTACAAGCTAACTCTCGGCTGTCTGAACTTCTGACCAACTAGCGATAAAAATTTGGGAGTTGCCAGAACCCTTTCATTTGGTAATCCTCTAGAATGTTTTGTAGGGTTCTGGAAAAAAACATATGTATGATTATAATTTTACTAGAAAGGACTGAGCAGAAATATGCAAATGAAGACACTTAGTGTGCAGGCGTGACACTTTCCAGCATGCGATTAGTAGGGGAATATTTTTTTTTTTAGAAAAAGTATTGATGTTGACAACTTCATTTGTGTGTATAAAGTATTCTGATAGCTCTTTGCTTCCCTTCATCTCCCTCCCATCCCTGTCACACACATCCCGTCATACCAGTCTTTTTCCCAAACTCATGACTTTTGGTTTTGCTTTATGACCCGTTGAGTTTAATCGGGCCCGTGGGGCCATTGGATTGACTATCCGTTGGAGCCAGTGGGTCCAACAGCGTAAGCCGACGAGTCTCCTTCCTGAATTGGCCAGTAGAATTGACAGTTCATCAGTGAGGTGTAGAGAGGGCCTCCTGAGCCCATCTTCCGTCTATGCCTGACTGTTGGTGGCCCGTTCTTTTGCCCACCCAGTGCAGGCATCTGCAGCTGCTATGAGATTGTAATTGTAATGGCTGTGTTTTACCCAAGAGATATTTCACAGCCATCTTCTCTGTCTTCTGGCTCCCCCTTTCCGCACGGTGTCCCCTGAACCTTAGAGGGAATGGTATCAATGTCTTGTTTAGGGCCAATCTTTGGTCAGTTACTTATTCTATATACCTTGTGGGGCCATGAGTCTCTGAATTGCATTCACTACCATTCACTGGAAAGACAAGTTTCTCTAATGAAGGCTGAGGGCAGTGTTTTTCCAGAGGTACAAACATGAATATTTAGAGGGTAGCTTGCCACTATGTCAGCTGCTAAAAAACAGTGCTCAGTTTCCATTTTAGGATTCATCGTCTCCATGGCCATAGGCTTTGAACCAGGTTTATAGAATCAGGCAGGTGGATCAAGTCTCAGATCCAGTCAGAACCATTGGTTACCCGTGTAACAGGAGTGCCGCTGGTGCACAGGACGTGGCTGGCTTGCCAGGCTGGTCTTGTAGCTCACAGAGGTTATCTCTGGGTAAGACCATTGATTCCTTCTCTCCCCTAGCAGCCTGCATGGCTTTCCCAGAACTGTGAAAACCACCAGCAGGCACAGAGGTGCAGCTCAGTTCTAGCTTGGCTTTCTTTTTTTATATTATGTATCTAGGGTATGTAGTGTATACGGTTTGCTTTCTGTGTTAGGATCAACACCATGAGCAAAAGCAACTAGAGAAGGAAAGGGTTTGCCAGTTCCTCTCACAGTTGATCGTTGAGGGAAGTCAGGGCAGGAACTCAAGCATGAGCAGAGGCAGGACCACCTGCCCCGAGGTAGCACCGCCCACAGTAGGCTGGGCCCTCCCACACCAGTCATTGATCAAGGAAGTGTTCCATAGGCTTGCCCACATTTTCTCAGTTGAGAATCCCTCTCCCAGATGACTCCAGTCTGTGTCAAGTTGTCAAAAATAAAAACAAAACCCACTAACTAGCACAAGGCGATACCTCATCCTTGGCATTGAAGGTGTTGATTAATAACTCCCAGCTTCCGAGAGCAGCTGTTCCCAGCCATACAGGGTCTTTTTAGGAATTGGAACTTTGTGGCAGTTTCATTTGTATGCAGACCCCCCTTCCACACACAAATATATTACATCTAGATTTTCTGGATTGTCCTAAAACATGGTGTTCACACATGACAGCCTCCTGCTGGTTGGTTATTGATTGGCACCGGGCAGGAGTCCTGCATTCCTGTCATTCCACGGCGCTTCTCCTGATGCAGTCCGAGGTGGCTCTAGTGTGTCGGGTAGGAGAAATTGTCCACACCTTTGGATTGTGAGCATCCTTGATAATTCTGCCCCGTCCACCAACACTATATATTTCCACCCCACTTCTCTGTTTGAATTGGTTTGTGGTCACATAAGAATGTGGTTTGGTTTTGCTTTGCTTTTTAGATTTGACTTGATTTTTTAATTTGAAAATTATTTCTATAGTATGAGATTTCTAGAGCTGGAGTTGCGGGCAGCTGACATGGGTGCTGGGAATCAAACTCCAGTCCTCTGCAAAAGCAGTGTGTCCCCCATCACTGAGCCATCTCTCCACTCCCAGGAGTATGCGTTTTAATATTAATGTTACCGTCTCTATTTTAAGATGTTTTACTATTTGAATGGGTGGAGACGTTTTTCTTAGTCTTGAAGAGTAAGTCTCCACTTCAGTGAGCACAGGCCGAGCTGATCCTGCATCCCCACTTCAGTGAGCACAGGCCGAGCTGATCCTGCATCCCCACTTCAGTGAGCACAGGCCGAGCTGATCCTGCATCCCCACTTCAGTGAGCACCGGCCGAGCTGATCCTGCATCCCAGTTGCACTTTGGTGTTTTCCTGGGTAGTGGGTGGGTGCTGGGAGCCCAAGTGTGCACCACACTGCTGAGCTGCACCTGCAGGCCTCGTGGCAGACCCGATGAACATCTAGGTCCTTTGCAGATTGAGGTAAAATTGCAATGAGGATTTGTTTTTATTTACGCCTATACTTTTATGACCTTGGGTAAATAGCTGGTTGTAGATTTGAGCCATGTTGATGTTAAGTTGGTGTGTTACCATTCTTTTTTTTGGATACGGACTCCCTACCTAACTGGGAATGACTTAGTATTTTTTCTGTTGCATGCACATTATGAACAGCTATTGCCAGGACCTTTTCTGAATGCTACTTTATGATATATTGTGATATATATGCATACTTAGATGAAATGAATCATGTGTTTTCTATCTTATAGTTCTTTTTTCTCTTTATATTATCTATTCCAAAATTGCCTCTTCTGACATGTGTGTGGTATTTGGACTCAGAATTAAGAGTGTAGTTACTCTTTATTCCTTATATCTAGATATACAGTTGATTTCTTTAGAGATGAGGTTCTCACTCTGTATTTCTGGCTGGGCTGGAACTTGCTGGGTAGACGGGACTGGCCTCAGACTCGGAGATCTGCCTGGCTCTGGCTTTGAGTACTGGAATTCAAGCCATACATCACCATGTCCGGTTATGTGTAGTCACGTTGCAGCCTTTCAGGTTCTATGATGTAAGAATTTCTGCGCATATATATTATCTTCAGTGAAGGATTTTCCATAAGATCTTTAAGGATGAGGGTTGCATCTTTTCCCATGCCCTACCTTCTGACAAAATTCTCCCAAACACCTGATAAGGTATTGAGGGACTGGAGAGATGGCTCAGCAATTAAGAGCTTGTGTTATTCTTGCTTGGTCCCAGTGCCCACATGGTGGTAACTGTGTTCCAGGGAATCCTCTCTTCTCGCCTCCTTGGGCGTCAGGCACTCTGCACTTACGTGCAAGCATGGATAAAGGTGCTGAGGCCTCTGTTAGTACCATGCTGCCAGCACAAGCTGTGCTGGGTGCTGGAGACAGGCAAGCCTGCGTTTGGTGTTTAAAGACAGAAAGTGTGGGGATTCTAAAGCGGCTTCCAGGATCGAATCACAAGGAAAGAAGTCTGTCCCTCTTAGCCACTAGATGAAACTCCCTATGCAGGTTGAAGGTTGTGAAAGAGATGCTTTTGGAACATGCTGTATTTTTAATCTCTTAAGTCACGCGGTTACGGTTTTACTTTGACTGACTCTGATCTTCTCAAAACAGTTCTTGGAGTCGCACCCAGCTTGTCTCATCTGCTGAGCCCATCCCTCCCCTCCGCGCTGCTGCACTTCAGTAAAGCACAACAGGTTTGTACACAGCACTGAAGATTCAGAGTGAAGACTCCCCCTCCCCCGGCCCCCCTAAATCCTCCTGCCTCCATCTCCCAGGGACTCCCAATAAGCATGCCAGACCTTGTCAAGCATTTTGCATTTTAAAAATATCTGCCTGCCCTTCGCCCTTTGTGTTATTAGGGATTGTCCAGGAGTTTACTGATGCCGGCCAGAGCTCCGCTGCTGACTTGACAGCCCCAGCTTTATTTTGACTTTTGATTTTGACACAGAATCTTACCATAGTTGCCAAGGCTGGCCTTTAACACATTCTATGAACTTGTCATCCTCCTGCATCAGCCTCCTGAGGAGCTGGAATTATAGGCCCGTGCAGCTGGACCTGGTAGAGAACAACCTTTAATAAGGATAGCTGCGTAAAATCACAGAATGAGTGTGTGTGATCCAGTGCTGATGGGGACAGCCCAGAGAACAAGATGAGTGTGTGTGTGTGTGTGTGTGTGTGTGTGTGTGTGTGAGAGAGAGAGAGAGAGAGAGAGAGAGAGAGAGAGAGATCCAGTGCTGATGGGGACAGCCCAGAGAACAAGATGTGTGTGTGTGTGTGTTTGTGTGTGTGTGGTGTGTGTGAGAGAAATTGTGATCCAGTGCTGATGGGAACAGCCTAGAGAGCTTAACTTACTGATTCCCACTTGTAGAATATTAAGAACAGAATTTAGTGGTAATCTTTGCTAGATAATGAGTCAGTAGTTTTTTCTCTGTGTGGTGGGGTATAGGGAGATAGACGGAATATGTGCCGTGGGTGTGGAAGTCAGAGGACAACCTTGGCATCATCGGTCTTGCCTTCTACCCTGTTTGGGGCAGGCTGTCACTGTTTGCTGCTGCATATGCTAGGCTAGCAGGCTCAGGTTTCTGGGAATTCTCCCTTCTCCACCTTCCATCTTCCCATAGGAGTGCTGGCATGTTTGTTTGTTGTGGGTTTATGGGATTCGAACTCTGGTCTTCATGTTTGCAAGCACTTTGCCCACTGAATCATTTCCCAGGCCGAAAGCAATAATAGTTTTAGAACAAAGCAATTTATACAGTCTTAACTCAAAACAAGTTTATAGAAAGAAATGAGCGGTAAATCCTAATATTTAAATTTTAATCAGTGTTATAAAATAGTTCATATGTTTGTGAGAGCAAAGAATATTTTTTTATGTTTTCAGATAAGTGTTTTAAATACGCACTTAGACATAAGTAGCTGACGTAAGTATTTGCCATATTAGAAATAGATATTACTCATTAATTTCAGAATATAGTTAAAGATACACAGACCTATGCACAAACCAGTTATTTTCTTACACAGAGGATGGAAGAAATGTGTGGTGCTAAAGACAGCTGTTTTGTTATTTTGAGATAGGGTCTTGCTGAGAAGCCCAGGCAGGCCTTCATCTCAGAATCCCCCTGCTTCTGCCTCACAGGCACTGGGGTTAAAGGTGTATACCACTACTAGTTGTAAAACTAGCTTTCTGAAGGGAGAAAAAGCCCCTCCCCCACCCACAGTAGTTATTCCGTTGCTGAGATAGAAGGCCCTCGGAAGAGCCACTTGGGAGGTTTTGTTTTGGCTTCTGGGTCCAAAGGGATCAAACTCATCCATTGTGAATATGTGAGGTCATCTGTCAGAGGAGGTGTGGTGGCAGGAACAGGAAGCTGACGCTCACATTTACCCAGATACCGGAAGTAGAGAGAAAGAAAAAGACAGGAAGTGGAGCAAGGCTATAAACTCTTAAATCCCATCGCTAGGGACTTACTCCAGCATTGGGCCACCTTCTAAAGGTTCCAGTCCATGCCACCAATTATTCAAAACACCACACCATCTTTCTTGTCTTTTCCCTTCAGGACTCCTGTACGTTGAGGTACGTTTTACTCGTCCACGCGCTCTGTTGAGTAGCCAGCCACATGTGATCGGTGCTGCCCCGTTATGGCTCCAGCTTTGAACAGCACATTCTCATAGTCACCATTGTTTCAGGGAGCATGAGAAGTCAGATGTGATAGCTTGTACCTCTAATCTCAATACTGGGGGAGGGCAAGACTGGAGGACTACTGTATTTAAGGTCAGACCAGCTACATAGTAAATTCTGGGCCGGCCCGGGGCAACAGAGCCAGATTCTGTCTCCAAACAACAATAAAAACCCAACAACAGAACAGCGGGGCAGGCAGACGTTACTTACAGTCAGGTATGAACACGTATGAACACATGTGAAAGGGAGAGTCAGAGCATGGATAATATCCCCCTCGTGGTAGGACAGCGATCTCAACCTGGGGATTCCAACCCTTCTGGGTAGTGTTAAATGATCCTTTCATGGGGTCCCGTATCAGATATCCTGCATATCAGATATTTATATTACAGTTCATAACTACCAAAATTACAGTCAGGAAGTAGCAATGAAAAGAATTTGATGCTTGGAGTCACCACAATGTGAGGAACTGTATTAAAGGGTTGCAGTGTTAGGAAGGTCAAGAACTGTGTTTGTAGAAAGACCAGAAACGCAGTATTTGCTGTTAAAGCCTGCAAGCCGCTCTATCTCCTGAACTCACTGTCCCCAAAGGACCTGCTCACTCCTCCAAGTGTCTGTCTGTCTCCTTGGCCAGGAATGTCCTCCCTGAGTACCACCTAACTGGCCTAGTCTTTCCCTAAACAGCCTTCCGATTTCAGCACACATGTTAGGTCCTCAAGAATGCCTCCTGGAATCTGCCAGTCTTGAATAAGATTTCCCAGTGGTTGATCATGTATCTGCTTGTATTTTTCCTCCTAGAACTGCCATTTGTAATCTTAGGAATATGATATATAGGGGCCATCATATTACATTTCTCACTAGGTGGCACACTATTCTCTTCATTAAAAAGCATGCAAGAAATATTGTCAAACGATTTATCCGTAAATTCATATTTCATCATCGTTAAAGCGGGGGTGGGGGTAAGGGGTGGAGAGGATGACAAAGGAAAGAATGTGGAATCACGTTTCAAAGCTGCACGGTCATCTCTTCCGTATTAAGTAATATTACCTGAGGACAAAAGTAGATTATTTATGAATTAAGTGTTTTTTAGGGTTTCTCTATGTAGCCCTGGCTATTCTGGAACCCAGTCTGCAGACCAGGCTGGCCTTGAACTCAAGAGACCAACCTGCCACCATCTCCCGAGTGCTGGGATTAAAGGTGTGTGCTCAGCACACCTGCCTAAAGTGTGGTTTCTTTTTTTCAGACTAACTTGAGCACTGAACTTGAAGCTGAGTTGATTATCTAACAAATAGTTCTCCCATCCTTCCTTAACTTCATGTGGCTTTAACTCTGCAGAGCTCGGTTGTGGGTAGTGCGTCCCCCTTGCTCCTCCAGGCTCTGTCTCACCTCCCTTTGGTCCAGCAGCAGCTGATGAAGTTTGATAGCGCCCACACTAATAATGTGAGTGTCTCTGCCCACTGATGGGGGCCGGGGTGCGATTTCACACACGTATCCGTCTTCCCTGGGCTCTCTGTTTCTCCCCCATGGGAAACGGTCTCCCTTCACCCCTGCTGTAGAAGCCTGGCTTGCTTGGAGAGCCCCCCGCCATGGTGCTGCAGCCCGCGCTGGCAATAGGGCCACCACTCTCCCTGAAGACGGACCTGGGACACCATGGAGACACGCACAAAAGTAAGTGACCTTTTTTGCTGGGAAGTTCCTGTGCAGTCAGCTTTGAGACTTGATAGTTTACCTCCATCCCTCTCTTATTTATAGGATGATTAAATTTAAATCTTGGTGATTTAAAATTTCAAGAGCCCCGTTGCCTCGTCTGATATGTTATTAATGGGCTTGCCTCCATGCCAAGATGAGACGGTCCCTGCTGGATGGCCTTTAATATTTCATGCAGGTTCACAGCAGTGCCAGGCGAAGACATGGCTTCCCTTTGACGCTGACATGCTGCCCACTGGGCTCACGGCATAGTCCCCGTGTCTCCATTTCAGTTGCACTGAAGGAGCCTCAGCCCTTATAAAGGGAATAGCTAGAGTTTGTAAATTTAAGCCCTGTTGACTTGAGTCATTTTAAATTACGTCTTAAAATGATGCCTTGAAAGACAACTGATCCACATGCTCTGGGCACGTAACAGGCAGGACATTTTTGTTTTAGAAAACTAGAAATACACCAGGGTTTCTTATTTTATTGTAATTTAGAGAAATGCTTCCAGTTGGAAGCTTGATTGAAGGGTCCGACGTGAGCATGCAGAGGGACCAGTGGCCGTTTAAGTTTCATGCACATAAGTAACACACACAGTCTCCTCCACATAAAACTGGCCAGATAATTCAGTCGATTCTGACTGCGGAAATTGACCAAGGTTAAATTGCCAAGGGATTTCTTGCTATGATCGGAGTCTGTCGTCCTAAAAGCTTTGACTTTCTATGATTACGAACTATGAAAATGTTTATTCCTCATGTTAATGCTAGCGGATACACAGCTCTCTCTCGTGTTCTGTCTTAAGAATGCTGACAGTTCACCGTCTAAGCAAACATATTCTGAGAGATGGAGGAGCCAAAGCTAGTCCTCTACCAGCTAACAAACCTTGTTAGTGAATTTGTAGAATGGAATTTTGATCTAGTCATCAAAATGAACTGTTTTAATTTCTTTTTGGCCTCTTGTTTTGTCTGCTTTTTATTTATTTATTTTGAGGCAGGGTCTCATTATATTGCCCAGGCTGGTCTTGAACTTGCGAGGTCACATGATCTTGCCTTGGCCCCTGAATATTTGGGAGATGCGCATCCATGCCTGGCTGATCTGTGCGTCTTTGTTTATTTTTAAATTTGAAATTCATTTCATTTATTTTTTGTTTGTTTGTTGGGAGAAGGGCACACATGCGCTATGGCATACACGTGGATTGGGCGGAGCAGCTTGTGGGAGTTGGTTCTCTCCTATCCCGGGGTCATGGGATTTAAACCCTGCCCAGGGCTAACTGCCTTTTTCTGCTGAGCCATCCCACCAGCCCTGACTTACTGATTTTTTTTAAAAAAAATAAAAGTGAGCCCTAATTTCCTATGAAAACTTTTATTCTTTTCAAGATTTTACTTCCTATAAGTAAAAAATATAACTTTTGTTGATTTAGTGTTTGTCTATTCCTGAGCATTGACTTCAAGGACAACAGTGGCAGTCTGGGGTTTAAGTACCAGATCTTTCCACTTAAAAATAGTGTTGATTTATAGTATTTGTGAATTTCCATGTGTAAATCTTCAACCGCTGCCAAGGCCAAGTTGCCAGCATAAAGACCGCAAACTCAAGCTGCGAAGACATGGGTGCAGCCAGCTCTTAACAGCTGCCAAAGGCTTGCTAACCAGGCTTGCCCTTGAGTCCACATCAACTGAGGAAATACTGAATTCTTAAAACCTGAGACTCAGTTATTCTCTTCAAGTATAGAAGCAACCAAATTGCAATGATTGGGCATTTTAAAGTACTGATATAATTTAACTGTCAAAAAAAAAGAATCATAAGCTTTTAAAATAATAATTAAAATATATCATTTAAAATAATATTGAGGTTAATCTTAGAAATTATTGAGAATTTTAACAGCATTATTAGTGTCACCCGCTGGACCCCACAGCGCTCTGAGCAGTGCAGAAGGGGCTCCGGAGCCTCGTGTAACTAGGTTCCTTTGCCTCTGTGTTTCGCTCCAGCATCTACTCTGGTTCCAACACAAACGACACTGGCAGCCGGCCTGGGCATGCTGCCATTCTTCCCACACCAGCTCACTGCCGGACAAGCCGGGCCAGGCCGTGGGACCACTCAGGAGAAGCAGTCCGCCTCAGCGAGCATCACTGAAGCTAGTTTCTCAGGGCCGCAGCAGTATCTGCAGACCTTCCCAGGCCTGCCCACTGGAGGCCCACTGTCAGGCCACCAGAAGACACAGCAGAGCCCAGCAAAAGGCCCGGAGGTGAGGAAGCACACAGGGAAATGGATATCCCCCAGGCTGCCTTTCCTCTCCTCTTTGTCCCCGAACTGTGGTATTGTTCTGCCACAGCCAGTGGCTTGTGTGTGTTGTTTGTCCCCACTGCCTGTTTTCCACATCTAAGTGGCAGCTCCAGGTTAGTTCTGGAGCTGCTGTGAATTTTTTAAGGGTTGAATTTCATGCTCATTTGAATGTTACCGATCCCTGGAGCATAGCAAGCATTCAGCAGCCATGCACTGAGTGAGCGAACATACGGCCATGTGATAGGCATGCCACACGCAAACCCCGATTTCTCTGAGGCTTACAAAGGTGTTTGAGACAGGTTTTGCTGTCCAGACACAGCAGCATTGGCCAGGAAAGCATCAGGAACATGAAAAGTCTGTGGCTCTCCCAGACAAAAGCGAACACTCAGGATTGCATTTCTTCATTGTGCTTAAAAAAAATAAAATAAGATCCGTATGCAAAGAAAACTAAACTACTAGCTTTATCTTCCATATCTAACCAGAACTGTGGTTTTAAAAGTCTTGACCAGAGAGTAAAGCCATCTCTCGGGAGAATGTGGAGCATAGTGAAAGCTCAGCCCCCACCCCTTCCTTTTCTGTTAAATGGATGAGGTCCTTGCTTCTCAGAGGAATATGGAAGCGGTGGTCCTATCTGACATTGTCGTCTGAAGAGTTGGCTCATGAACTAGAGACAAGCAAGCTTTGCTTGTGTCATTTGGTTTTACCCACATAATGAAAATTTAGATCTTATAATTAATGTGAATACTTGCATTTCGAGATATCAGATACAGAACTGGTGGTTGTTTTGTTTCTCGCAAAGATGAATTCTCTAAGATCAAGTGAGAAGATACAGGATGCCTCAGGTTGTTCGCCACTTGTAGAATTCTGTTTATTTATTTATTTATTTATTTTTTTTATTGGGGTTGTTGAGACAGGGTCTCTCTGTGTAGTCCTGGCTGTCCTGGAGCTTGCTGTGTAGACCAGGCTGGCCTCTAACTCACAGAGATCCACCTGCCTCTGCCTCCCGAGTGCTGGGATTAAAGGCAACTAGAGCCCACAAATGATCACATTGTACAAGATATATTGAAAAACAAATCTTTTTGTACTTTTAATTTTAGTAAATAATTTAAATAAGCATGTATTAGTTGTGTGACACGTAAGATGCTGTTGAGGACTTCTGTAACTTCTCGTGTGTGTGTGTGTGTATGTATGTGTGTGTATGTATGTGTGTATGTGTATGATGTGCTGTGACAGTCCTCATTCTTTTTCCACCGCTCATTCACCACCCCATCCTCTGTTTCTGGCGAATAGGCTGCCTCTAAGAATCAGACTTCACTCTTGGGAGAACCACCCAGAGAAATTCGGCTCAGTAAAAATCCGTATTTGAATCTGGCGAGTGTGTTACCCAGTATGTGCCTAGGTAAGCAGGGCCTCTGCGTCAGCTCTAAGGGTCCCCGGAGACGATCTGTGATGACTTTTCCTTTCGTCTTAGTTGACAGTCACCATGCTTTATTGACAAAACTAAGCTCTAAATCACGAACTTATTCTTTCGCCATAATCCCATTATTTGGATAAAAAAGAAAATTAAAAAACTTTAAAAAAAATTTTTCACAACAATATTTTTATTTAGGCAAAAAATCCTATTCCGTTCTTACTGCACCATTAGTGAAGATAATGAAGGTGGTGGGTTGTTTGAAGCCCCGCGGTCATTTGCCATGTGGGTAGAAACATGGGTCTAAACCAGAGCTTGCAGCGCATCCGTGTGCCCTAGATAAAGGACTGCCGCTCGGCAGAAATGGAGTCGACCAGGGCTTCCTTAGCGTGGAGCAACCCTTACTCAAACACAGTGCTACAAAAAAGTCAGTCTTGGGAAACCGAAGAACACATTCATGTCGTCCGGGAGGGAAGAGGCTGGGTTCATAGAAGGAACCCTGTGACTTTTATTTATTTTTTTATTTTTTTTATTTTTTATTTTTTTGGTTTTTTTCGAGACAGGGTTTCTCTGTGGCTTTGGAGCCTGTCCTGGCACTAGCTCTTGTAGACCAGGCTGGTCTCGAACTCACAGAGATCCGCCTGCCTCTGCCTCCCGAGTGCTGGGATTAAAGGCGTGCGCCACCACCGCCCGGCACCCTGTGACTTTTAAAAACCAGTAATAGCACTAATCAGAAGCCGTCTACATCGCTCATGTAGGAGGTCGTCCCTAAAGATGATTTTAAATGGAAAAAGGGAGAGTGAGCCCTGCACGATTGCAGTCCTGCTGCCAAACCTGTGCTCTTAGAGGCACGCGCTTGTGCAAATGCAGACAGTGTAAACTGAGCTCTGACAGGCACGCGCTTGTGCAAATGCAGACTGTAGCTAGGAAAGTGTAAACTGAGCTCTGACAGGCACGCGCTTGTGCAAATGCAGACTGTAGCTAGGAAAGTGTAAACTGAGCTCTGACAGGCACGCGCTTGTGCAAATGCAGACTGTAGCTAGGAAAGTGTAAACTGAGCTCTGACAGGCACGCGCTTGTGCAAATGCAGACTGTAGCTAGGAAAGTGTAAACTGCAAGGAAAGGATTTAATATACATTTTTGGCATTTGACGAAGTATCCTCTTTAGCATTAATTATCATTTTTCTGAATCTAGGAAAGTGTTCTAATGTATCTCTCTGCAGCACACTCTTCTCACGTAAAATCAACAAAGACAACTTTTGCCTTAATAAGGGTGTTTAATTTGCATTTCGTATGCATTGGTGTAGAACAGCAGTTTTTAACTTGTGGGTCACAACACCTTTGTGGTTATATATCAGATGTTTACATTATGATTCCTAACAGCGGCAAAATTAGTTATGAAGTAGCAATGAATTAATTTTACGGTGTGGGGTCACCACAACATGAGGAACTGTATTAAAGGGTCACAGCATTCGGAAGGCTGAGAGCCACTGATGTGTACAGTATCTGTCTGAGGGTCGGGTGTAGAGCTCAGTGGTAGAGTGCTTGCCTAGCATCCCTGAAGCCATGGCTTCGATTCCCAGTACAGAAAAAGAATTGAAAAAAAATTTATTATTTTGCCTATATGGCAAGCTTCCATTTTCAGTTAGTGAAGTAGATGAAGCAGTGTGTAATACCTCCTAGAGAAAATAAATATAAATATACATTAGTAACCTATCTGAAACAGGCTGTATTAATGTGTTTTATGCTGTTTGTAGTGTGTTTTACGCTGTTTGGTCTTGCTTTTGTCTTTAGCCACTGCAAGTAAAGGCACGCCACACAAGACTGGAATCGCAAGCAACATTCTGGATGCAATCTCTCAGGGAAGCGAGTCCCAGCATGTCCTGGAGAAATGCATCACTTACTCGCCACCTTTCGAGGATTATGCCCAGGTAAAGGACGCACAGGACATGATGATAGGGAGAGAAACCTGACACCACTGAGCGTGGGAATAGGTCTACTCTAGCACTATGAGAACACGGGATAGTTATCTCTTTCCCATCACCTAAAATTTGGGAATAGGTTCAAGAAACTATTTAATATTATTTTAAACCAAATATTTACCTCTTATGGTTTTACTCTTGAAACTACAGCCCTTATGCCACACCCAGCCTGTCACCTGTTTTTCGGTGGACGTAGCCACATCCATTCATTTACATATTTCCTATGGTGCAGCCGTACCCAATGGAACAGACTTGCACAGTTTACAAGGTTAAATATTTATGCTACCTGACTCTCTCCTGAAAATTCTTCTGACCTCTGTTTTACGAGAGTATAAACCTTAAGAACCCAAAGGGGAGAAAGCAGCCTTCATCCTTCATCATTGCTGAGGTGGAGGAAATGTTTGGCAGCCTGGGCTGACCTTAACTCAATGCTCAGCCTCTGGAGTTCTGGCCTTATCTGTGTATGTGTATACCACTGCATCCAGCTGTATGCCAAAGCCACAGAGCATAAAAGAGCCAACCCCCGGGATCTTTAGGTTTGTTCCAGGGCTCCTGTGGATACCCCACCTCTGGATGCTCAGTTCATATCTGTACGGTGTCACGTATGCAGTCTTTCTGGGCAAATCTCCTTCACGCATTGGAGCTCTGTAGATCACATATGATAGTTAATGTGTTGGAAATGCAATGCAAATACACTGTGTTGCTTAGGGAATAATTACAGAAAAAGCCGCACAGTTTTGGTGCGGGTGCAGTTTTTCGAATATTTCCAACATACAGTTGGTTAAATGAATGGTTACAGAACCTATGAACGTGGAGTATGAGTCTAAATTATGTCCTAAAGATAAATTAATATGATGAGGTAGTGGCCTGCTTAACTTAAAAAAAAAAAAAAAAAAACGGGGTCAGAACTGAAGTCATGAGGAAGACATTCTCACTTCCTAAGGTTCTATCTTTGTTCATGGATACAGTAATGACGCAGATAAGCACACTGGAGATTGATTATACGTAAGGGGCAAAAGTTAAATTATTGGAGGTAAAGTTATTATGAATATACAGTTGCAAAGATTAGAAACAACCAAAATATTCAGCTAAGACTGAGTAAGCAAATTATGTTGTTTTTACCATAAATATAATTCGGAAATTTAAAATGATGTAAAATAACGTGTAAACATATCCTAAAATCGTCATTAATAGTCACAAAATGTGGTTTGTATAGGAGAACAAGGTGTACTTTTCAAAGCAGAAGAAACAATACATTTTTAAGAATCTAGCAACGGTATGCATTTTAAGCATCAAAGGAAGTTCCCACTGGTCTGTACTGAGCTTTTCATTGGAGTGTGACATTTGAAATTCGTCTTCAACTCTGCTAACTCGGTTCTTAGATGGTGGCGGTGAAGCCGATATGTGCTGTGCGGGGTCTGTATGGAGTTGGTTACTCTGCTGTGGAGAGGCTCTGAGGCGGAGCTTGCATCTCCATGCTTTGAACACTTGCCACTTCCTTTGCAACGTGTCCTAGTCTGCTTTCCTGTCACTGCGATAATCACCAAGACCAAAAGTGACTTGGGGAAGAAAGGATCTACTTGGCTGGTACTTCCAGATCAGAATCCATTGTTGACGGAAGTCGGGGCAGAGGGACCTGGGATCAGAAAGCCTGGAGGAAAGTCAGGATGGAGGGACCCGGGAGCAGGAAGCGGGGAGGAATGCTGTTCACTCTTTGGCTAGCTCAGCTAGGTGTTTTCTATATAGCTCAGACCCACCTGCTTAGGGATAGTGCTGTCCACAGTATACTGGACCCTCCCAAATTAATTATTAGTAAAGACAGTCTCTTACAAACTTGGCCACCGGCCAATCTGACCTAGGCAGCTCTTCAGTTGAGGTTCCTTCTCCCCAAGTGACTCTAGGTTTTTGTCAAATTGACAATAAAAACTAACTAGGCTGGGCAGTTGGTGGCGCACACCTTTAATCCTAGTACTTGGGAGGCAGAGGCAGGCAGATCTCTACGTGTTCTGGACCAGCCAGATCTAGTTCCAGGGCAGCCAAGACTACACAGAAAGAACCTCTGTCTCAAAAAACCAAGCAAACCAGCCACCCCCACCCCAAGCTAGACAGGACACAGTGGTGAGCATTTATCATTATCACCAGCATGGACGAGGGATTGAGCGAAAGGGTCTGTGCATATTAGGCAAGCACACTACTCTTGAGCTATATCCCAACTCAGTTTTTAAACATCTTTTAAAAATAGTGGGGGATTGCACTTATATATGTTAGACTATGTAAACATTTCATCTTTCTCCCATGCCCGTGAGTTCTAAACGACCCCCGGCCTTTTGCACGTGGAAGAGCACAAAGGCGTAACTTCCGCTCTGTATTTCTGCAGTTTGCGAAGTCCGTGTTGCTCTAGTTGCTTCCAGAAACTGTTTAAGCTTTTATACATAAGGACTGGGAGAGATGGTTGTGTCAGATACTAGATAAAATAATTTCTCCTTTAAGTAAAGCTATCACATTTAAGAATTTAATATTTGGTGTATATGAAGTTATTGTCATAAACCCCTGATAAAATCTGGAGTAGACACTGGGGAGATCCAGGCAGGTGAGTTCAATGCCAGCCTGGTGTACAAAGCAAGTTCTGGGACAGGTAGGGCTGTTACACAGAGAAACCCTTCTCAAAAAAACAACAAAAGTCTGGAGTAGATTTGAACAAAGTAGTCTTTGTTGGAAGTATTGGAGAATAACCAGTAGAAACTAAAGGGAGTTGGGTCCTGAGAGAGGGGAATTCCCTTGATGACAGCCATGTTTCTGTGACTCTTTGCTTGACTTCTTTTTCTGTGCAAACTCTGCAGTCTCACTGGCCTGCGGAGTTACAGAGTAAGCCTTAGGACTCTTGGGTAAGTTGTGGAGTGAGAGGTCCTGGAACAGGGAAGCGCATGGGTAGGAGCACCCATGAGTGCAGCCCGAAGTCGTCATGGAAAGGGGGCCCAGACGCACTTGGCTGATCCCTGAACTGTGTGGTGATGACGGCATTACGTTTTACTTGAATGTGCATTGCCATCCATCGGGTAGCGTTAGCAGACTGCTCAGAGAACTGTGGAAATATGTCAGTAGTTTAATCTGATAAATCCTAAAAACATTTGTTCAAAGTATATTGTATGAAAAAATTTTAATTAAACTTTAGAAAGAAGATGTAGGTGTTGAAGGAACTAAAAATAAGATGTAGGTGTTGAAGGAACTCTGTCTAGACATTAACTGACCACGTGAGCTAACAGTACAGTTTGTAACAGCCATACCTAACGAGTTTGGACTTTTCACAAGTTCAAGCTAATAAACAAAAACAAACGAGGGGCTTATAGACTCATTGCGGTCGTATTGTTTTATTTCAAATGATCTTCATTTCAACAACAACAAAAATCAATAGAAATGTAAAGAAATCATAAATTTAAATGCTTCGTCTTTAGGAAGCACACTACTTGATGGGGATTAGGAGGTGTGGCCTTGTTGGAGGAAGTGTGCCACTGGGGGTGAACGTTAGGGTTTTCTAAGCTCAAGCCAGGCCCGGTATCTCCCTCTTCTGCTGTCTGCTGATCCAGATGTAGAACTCTGAGCTCCTTTTCCAGCACCATGCCTGCCTGCCTGTTGCCCTGCTTCCCACCATGACAGTAATGGACTAAGCCACGAAAACTGGAAGCTAGCCCCAGGAAAATGTTTTCCTTTGTGAGAGTTGCTGTGGTCATGGTGTCTCTTCACAGCAATGGAACATTGACTAAAACACCCGTATGGGAAAAGCAGGCAATACAGAAGAATGCTCATAAAGTATCTTTAATGTTGGACTTAGGAGGCAATGGTATAACACAATCCCGAAGAGCTAAAGCGAATCACACATAAAGAAAGACGTTAGGTCGTGTGGGAGCCATGTTGCTTCAAACATGGTGTCCACAGAGGAGAGGATAAAACAGTCAGATGGAAATTTTCAGTTTGAAAATTATAATAAAGCAAAGTAAAACCTTGGTTAGGGGACAGCAGTCGATGTCAACAGGGAGAAGAGTGACAAGGATGGCATGCAGGTCACTTGAGATGATCCCAGCCAACAAACGGGAAGGAAAAAGAACCTTAGCTGTGTGGGCAAGGGCATGCTGAAGCATCAGGAAAAATTAGCATGACTCAGAAATCCCGAATTGCTCTCTAATAGTTTCACTCAAAATATATATGCTCAGGAGAATTTGAATGTGTCCGCACACCGGTGTATGCACTGGTGTTCATGGCAGATTATCTGCTAACAGCCAAAAGGGAAAAGCCCAATTGTCCACCAGTTAGCCAGCAGATGAACAGTAGAATATTGTTCAATGGATGGACCTTGAAAGTGTGCAGAGAGAAGTTAGTTACGGAGGCCTTGTTTATGAGGGTTTGTGTGAAATGTCCAGAATAAGTAATCTGTACAAAAAGTCAGTAGATGATTAATGTTTGGGGAGCGCAGAGGAAGAACCAGTGGGGATGTTGCTGGCACAGTGAGAGGGCGCTCTAGAGTCAGACTCAGTTCGTCCAGCTCTGTGCATAGAGAATACTGGACTCTGGACATACGTTTAGATGTCTATTTGAAGTTGTATGCATGGGAGCGGGTGCCTGCAAGGGGCGTCGGATCTCCCGGAGCTGGAGTTCTGGGCAGGGGGAGCTGTCCAGAGTGGATGCTGGGAACTGAACTTAGGTGCTCTGAAGAGCAATAGGCACTCCTAACTGTTGAGCCGTCCTGCCAGCCCGTGGACTCCGGTGTTTTAGAAACAAACCTTAAGTGTACTAAATAGAGATGCATATTTACTATACTAAACAGAGGATGCATATTTACTATACTAAACAGGGGATGCATATTTACTATACTAAACAGGGGATGCATATTTACTATACTAAACGGGATGCATATTTACTATACTAAACAGGGGATGCATATTTACTATACTAAACAGGGGATGCATATTTACTATACTAAACAGGGGATGCATATTTACTAAACAGGGGATGCATATTTACTAAACAGGGGATGCATATTTACTAAACAGAGGATGCATGTTTACTATACTAAATAAGGATACATATTTACTTAGTATTTTGGAGGTTTTTGAAGCAGACCATGAAAAATGAATGTTAATTTAGAATCTAATGGCATTATCATCTGAAGTATCTTCTTAATTTAGGTATATACAGTTTGAAATTTCAGATTCTGAGGTAAAGATGAACAGGTCTGTCTGCATCAGATAGATGGCTGTTAGAGCCCCTGTTACAGAAGACTGAGCCAGCTTATTAAATATTTAATACTTTAGTGTAACCTCTAATTATAATCTGACAAACAACAAATAAAATATTCCTTCCTGCTCCCTTGTACTCAAGTAGAAAAAACAGGCCAACACTTATCTGTGACTTTTCAGCATGACATAGTCCCTAGTTTCAGTAATACAAAGGATAATTTAGGAATTCCTTCACTGTTTTCAGTGATGTGGGTTTTTCTTTCCACACTTGGCTTGCTGGCAAGAGTCCTCTGCACTGCGAGCTGCAGTCTTGGGTTTCCCTAGCTACAGGGATCTTTGCTGCCGCGAAGCTGGCTGCCCAGCCTAGGGAATCAGCCACAGAATGTATGATGAGTTGGGGTGGCACAAACCCAAGAATAAACAAAGGCTTGGAAGAGGCTGGGTCTCTCTGTAGAGAGCATAACGCTGCCACCTAGTGGCCAAATCGTGCAAAGGCATATCACACTGTATAGCCCATGACACCACCACCATCTGCAGACCCATATAGATAGACCTTTCAGAGACAACTCATTCATTTGTACAATTAAATGAACTTAAGGTGCACAGCTTACAGCTTGTGGGCACTGAGACTTGTCCAGTGATTTTAAAAATGTGGCACAATGACTTTTGGCAGGTGAACTTTGGGGCAAAGATGAGAAGTTTATAGACAATGTGTCACACGGATGCCTGCATGTCATACAAAGTCCCCAAAGTAGGACTAGCAAATGCAGAGATGTGCGAGGCAAACATGCTTGCCATGTTAAAGGAACGAGAGAGAGAGAGGGAGAGTGCCCTGGCAGGAGAGGCCTGAGCAACATGGAAAATGAAGTCACAGTGGGTGGGGACAGGACAGGTTAGGACCTTACTAGACCCATGTATTTACTTAGAGCTGTATTCTAATATGCAACTGCAGAACATAGCAAGGTCAGCGAGGAGGCAGTGCAATGCAGTGCAGTGTGGTGCGGTGCAAATAGAAATGCTGCTGGATGGCTCTCAGAGCACAGTGGCTGACTGGGAGCAAAGCAGTTTGGGGAGGTTGAGGAAACAGGATGCTGAGGGTAGTCTGGATGGCCCGAGCTTTGCGACCTGGAAAACTAGAACTGTCACTGGCTGAGATGGGTGGGACTGTGGGTGGGATGGCTCCAGAGGGCTGGGGGAAGGTTGGTTTGCATGAACGGTCCAGGATAATATTGCTACTGGTTGGTCATCATGCAAGTCTGGTCGTGGTGGGAGGAGGACACTGGGGGAAGTGCCAGATTGGTGTCGGTACAAATGTGTGGTTGGTTGAGATCAACAAGGAGTGAGGGGAAAGGAAGAGCCCAGCCGTCATCACTCTGGATTGCTCATTGTCTTGGTGAAATAGATGAACCATCTAAGAGTGAAGATGGTGGGTTCCCCCGTGGGAGGTCGGGGGGAGGGGTGGCGAGTAATTCCACCCAGGCCTACCCAAGCCCTAGGGGACCTCCATGAAGTCATAACCACAGTGCTCTGAAAGTCTCAGCATTGTAATTCCAAAGATCAGAGTCCTGGGAAGCAACATGAGAGAACAAGAGGGGAGGGCCGTGCTGAAGGTGAATATCTTCTTGAAAGTATCCACACTGATGGGCAATGATTCTTTGGAGAAGCGTTGTGGGGCATCTTGATAGGGAATGTATACATCCTAGTGTAATTTCACCAAAGTAGAAGGTTGTACGTGTGCGTGTATGTGTGTGCGCGCGTACATATGTGTGTGTGGGGGGTGGGGCAACTTGTCTTTATATATACCAAATGGATGCAGGAGCTTTGGAGGCCAGCAGAGGGTGTCCGATCCCTTGAGGGTGTCTGATCCCTTGGAACTGGTCTCCGATGGTTTGTGAGCTCACTAGTGTGGTTCTGGGAGCCCTTACCATGGAACCATCTTTCCAGCCCACAATGGTTTGGTTTGTTGACACAAGATCTTACCATGTAGCTCTGGCTAGCCATAAATTCAGACATCCTCCTGCCTCTGCCTCCTGAGTGGTGGGATTAAAGGTATCAACACCACACCAGTCGGTAGCAGGTTACATCATAAATTCCCTGCTGCCCTGGGATGCTATTCTAACCCTAATGAGCTAATGTGTAGAAAGTGCCTGGATGTGCTGCATCTTCAGGGTGAGCTACTGGCTCCCAAGGCTGCAGCTTGTGCGGCGGCACTGGACCAGACTGAGCTGTTTAAAGTGCATTTGACATTTTTTAAGATGTCATGAGTCATGATGGCAAGTGTCTTTTCCCATTGGACCATCCCACTGGCCCCTCTCCAGAGTCTGCTTGGGGAGAGTGAAGGGTAGGTAAAGCCCAGGGCCCAGGTCCTTGGAGTGAAGGGTGTGGTGAACGAATGGAGATGTGAATGCTGGGGACAGACAACAGAAAGTTGCTTCATACACTTTCCCTCTTTGTGGCTATTTTATTTTTCTTACTCATTTTTAGTTGAGTTTTTCCCAGAATACTGAGATTTGCTTCAAAAACCTCAGCTGTTATTCCCCATTTCAGCAGTCCTTACAATGCTAGCCATCTTTGATGTACTGTACAGAATGATCCTTCTCACACTGCTATGGAGGTCACTTCCCATTCTTACCAGTGATTTTCTGTGCAGCTCTGACATTCGTGCTCATCTCTTTGATCTCTGTTGATTCTCTGGATGATACAGAACTACCTGAATAAGAACACCCAGTGTCTAGCTGGTTTGGGAGAGTAAGATGATCTGGAAGGGGATACTTGAGGCCCTTGCTTTCTGGAAAGGATGACACATGGGGTACCATGCAGCGTGGAGGGAGGGAGGAGCAGCAGAGTTCTGCCCACTGTGAGAGTGTGTCTTGACCCATATCTTTAGGGAAATCTTATAGAATGGGTTGATGGTTTGGAGGAGGAAAAAGTTGATTCTACCTGAAGGGTTAACTGTGTTAGTGGCTAAGGTCCAGCAAGCATCTTTGGACAAAGGTATTGGAAGATGCTGAGGCTCAATGGCAGACAGCCAGGGAAGAGCTGCATGCATTGCCAGCTGTCAACATGTGGAGACCAGTCTGGTTTCACCTGTGCTCCTCCCTGCCACACACACCCCATAACTTCCAAGCAAATGCAAACCAGCATTTGACTCTGAATACTCCCTTAGACCAAGGTTGTAAGAGTAAGTACCAACAGAGGGAGCCCGGCTTTTCAGTATTCTGTCATTCAAGATCAAACCCAAGACAACTGCTGTGCCATTGAGCGGCTCGTGAGCTCTCACGCCTTTTCTTGACAGAACGATAGAGAAATAGAGCCCTATGAAGCAGCCTCTCTTCTAAGATTCCAAGACAGCATGTGCGAAGTCTCCACTTCCTCATCGGCTGTTCTCACGCTGTGTACCTGCTTCAGCAAGCATCTCACACTTGATGTGTAGGGAAAGGTCACAGGCTGTGCTATACAATCTCACTGTACCGATTCCTACGCCTATGATGGGAAACATTAGGCCCTTTCTGGACCAGAGTCTCTGGAAGGGATCTTGGAAATCTGATTACTTGGGGCACCAAAGTTTTGAGATCTCATTACTCTCATTGCCATCATTTTCCCTGACATCACTCAGCCAGTTCTCCTTCCCAGTTGCTAGGCAGACTTGCGGATTCCTCACACAGGTCCATTTTTGACCTCCATCAGGAACCCTGACACTTGATGTTGCTCTTCGGACTCAGGTGTGAGCAGGGCCAGTTTCCTTCTCCCACGTCCCCTGACCAAGGTGAGGACTCAGAGGTCTGCTTGTAGTTTGTAAAGGCCCTAGATGTGGCAGATTGTGGTGCCAGGATGGAATACGGTCTCTTGCATGTTAGGTTTCTGCTCTTCAACTGAACCATACCCCCAGCTCTCTGCAGGTGATTTCTATAAAGATTTGAAAGTCTGATTTCCTGTATCAAAGGTGTTTTTGTATTTCTTGAATTTTGGTATTCTGTATAATAATCTATAGTGACGCCAACTCAGAATGCTTTCCTTACAGACATTCTTACTTTCTCATAGGTATCATCTTTGAGAAATGAGAAGCGAGGCTCCTCCTATCTCATCTCTGTCCCAGAAGGGGGTCCAGTAGAACTCGCTGGCCAGCACCCTCAGGACACAGGAGTGAACTACACAGAAACCTACTTGAAAAAGAAGCGTGTGTACTGAGCTCCGTGTCTCCTGCCCACTGCTGCGGTCCTCTGCAGTGTCTGCTGCTCATCGCTGCCTTAACTTCATTCACACTAGCCATATCCTTTCGATACGGGTTTCTGACTTCCCAGAATGAACTGTCATGCAGCAGGCAGATCAGCCAAATACGCAACTAGCAATAAGAAACATCACTGGTCGGAGGGCATTTTCCACTAGCATTAGATGTGTCTTAATCCCTATGACAACAGCTCAGCTCACTGGAGAATCAGCATTCCAATAGTCCTTGATTTGGGCCTGGGAACAATTTTGACATCATAAAGTCTGAAGCAATAAATGGGAAACAGTGTTTTGTTTCCTTAGCCTTAGAATGAATTTCTTAAAAGCCAATGTGCTTTACCTTACTCTCCCTAAGAACAATCTCATCCACAGTCTTGAAGGACCTTTCCTCAAACTGCAAAGGTGCTGGTACGGCCAGACAGATGCTTGTCATGCAAACCCCATTAGCTCGACACCAGTCACAAAATACCAACCCAGTGGCAGAGTGACGTCATTTCAGATGCTTGACTTCCAAGGTGTCATTTACCACTTACACCTTTTGTGGAAAACAGTACTACAAGGTTAGTGAAGTACACACCAGGGCCATGTGTAGTCCATGCTGCCCATGAATCAGTGACTGCATTTCGAAATGCCTGGGGTAGAGAAACAAGAAACTGCAATTTTAATGTCCCCACGACTTTATTTGGAACACAGCGAAGCTCACTCATTTACACACTGTGTACTTTTGTATCACAGTGGGAACTGAGTAGCCTCCAGAGAAGCACAGAGCCTGCAAAGCCTGGGACATTACTCTCCCATCCTGCATACATAGGTTTGCGGCTTGTCTCCCTATTGCTTTTATCTTATGGTCACATGGCAAGGAGCCAAGGTTTGTGTGCCATTTCATAGCATACAGGAGTGAAGACAAGGCTGAGACTCGGCAACACAGCTCCCACTGACGTTTCTAAGGGGCTCTGTGGGACAGTGTGTGGGACAATTCTGAGCTGATAAAGCTCTACCTCACTGGTTTCATTCATTCTCTGGTAGTGAAGTTGAAAGATACATCTATTTAATCCAGGTTACTTCTGAAAGAGTGTCTTTATTAATGTCACTTTGGATCTCACCATTTTCTGAAGATCTTGGTATAAATTAGAAACCTCTTTCCATCTAGAAGTTTGTTAAGAGACTACAGCTGATGGAGTTTGGGATCTCAATGATCCTACTATATAGGATCAGATCATTAAAATATTTTACTCGGGATTTATCATTTTTGACTATGATATAGATCTCCAGCATTAATTATTAAGTCTAAAACTGGTACATGTTATATGCTTTATAAAAATTTTACTTGGTCTAATTTATTGCATATACCAGCTTTCATTGAAAAATGACAGCTAAGAAGTTAAGACAATCCTAAGCAGACTACCTATGGCTGCCCAGGAAGAGGCACACAGCAGACTAATGGCTTCTCCAAGCCTGCACAGCCCCTTCCTTTTGCTGCTGCATTTAGTTTCTTCAGCACTTACAGTACAGGAAGGATAGCAGCTGCTACAGTGGAGCTGTAAGGTTAGGAAACTGAGAACTGAAAGATGCTTGCATCACAGCACATGTGGGTCTGCCCATTATCCCTGACAGAAGAGATGTGCAACCCAAATGATGTTAGTCTATGCTGTTATTTTTCTATGTTAAGCTAATGGTTTGAAATGCTTTCAAATTGCAGACTTAAAATTAAAAGGCATACGCATGTGAAGGCTTTAGTATGTTTATTTGTATAAAGAGTAAACAAAGTGCATATAGAGCAGGCCACAGGTTTGACATGGACAGCAACTAAATAAATTTAAATGGCAACTGTACTGTTGCTTCTAAAGAGATCTTGAATCCTTGGGGGGGGGGGAGGCTCAAAAGGTGAAAAAATATCAAACAAGTATTAAACAGCATTAATAAGTTTGCCAGACTCTTGGTCATGAAGAACTTCATGGTTTCACATTGAATCAGAAACTGAACATTATTGGTTACCTACCTATCTCCAAGCAAACTGAGAACTGCCTAGTGAATTCTGAACTCCAGTCTGTTGTTCCCCAGGCTGAGTCTTCTCTTGGTAGTTTTGCAGTATGGGGTGATGGTCATAACAGTGATTAGCCTTTGTAGATGGTATTGTCTTCTGTTTGTGGTACTGTGATAGCTTGCCGGCAGGGATAGTTATGAAGGGGTATGCACTGACATTTCTTAAAGGCAGGTGTCATAGCATCTGGGTCAGAGGAAAGCAGGCTGTGCAGGAGAGCACAGGCCTAGTTGAAGAATAACATGCAGAGTGTCTATGCCAGGTTCTCCCCACAATGGGTACCAGTGCTTAGCCAAGAGAACAGCAGCTGGGCCACTGCACAAACAGCTTGAAATTGCAGTCCTATTGGAGAGCAGGAATAGACTCATTAAGTGGTACTTACTCAATTGGACTATCACTGTGTAGATACTGAGATTTCAGGACAAGGGAAATTTTCAGCCAAGTCCACCAGTTTTTATCTAAGATCAATATGCCAGCAAAACAGCGCCCAAAGTCCTTTGCTATGCAACTGATCATCTAATCTTTCCAAAAGGAGTGCTTAGGCACATTCTAGTTTGGTTGTCATTACTTTTCACTAAATTTAAGCTGTGACATATGCATGTACTCAGATATTTGTTGAGTGGCTTTCTCGGCAGAATATAAACTTTTTCATTTTAAAAAAAGTTTTTTAATGGCTTGGGAGAGAAGGACTTGATAAATGGGAATTTAAATGTTACTCATGCTTCTTATTTTAAAAGTGCTTCAAATCCTTCGATCAGGCTCTGAAAGGTTGTCCGATTAGATGGCTGGAATTCCCAGCATTTTCTCATAAGCTGATAAACCTATGAAAAATAAAAGCAAGAGCAGTACAAATAATGTCAGATTTGTGAGATTTACAAAACGAGATGCTGGAGAGATGGCTCAGTGGATGAAGTACTTGCCCCACAAGTATGTAACCAAAGTTCAGAGCCACGACATACACATTTAGAGAGCAGAATCAGGAGGGCTAGCTTCAAGGAGACCCTGCCTCAGTAAACAAAAACCAGAGCAGTCAAGAGGACACAGCATCAGTCTCTAGCATCTGTATGCACCCACATATTTGAAAACATGTATACCTGTGTGCATACCACACCAAGACACCCCCCCCCCGAATTATTGAAAATAAGGAAAGGCGGTTTCAAACTTAATATGACTATAGATAATTTAGACTATAGAATATTTAGATAATTTAAAGTACAGAAAATGATAAGCTATATAACCCTTTCACCACCATAGCGCCTCACTCTGACCATCTAGAGAGCCTAAGGCTGAAAGGCTCAATCCAGTTTAGAATACAGAAAACTTAAATGCTAGTGAGATGTGTAAGGAAGGTGGACGGAGGGGACAGCTCCATGAGGGGAGCCTTGCTTGAGCATCACTATTGCCTACCCCAAGAGAGATTTCTCTAATATCTTATGTGGATGATGGAAACAGTCCTCTGAAAGAGCAGCAAGTACTCAAATAACCAAGAACCAACTCCCCAGTGCAGGTTATGGGTCTTCTCTCCCTATCCTACCCCCTCCCCCATTCCTGCTGGCTAAGTCAAGCTGTAAAACATTACAAAGCAAGTTTCTTTCCCATGAAGGGGACATAGGTACCTCGTCAGGACAGTTGGGTGGACATGGCAGGCGCTTCCCTTCTTTCAGAGTATTCACAAGCCGTGTTACTGTCATCTGACCGTGAGTTGGGCCTATCATTTTCAGGAACAACTATGTAAAATAAAACCAAACAAAATAAAGTGAAGATCCCAGCCTAACTAGAAATTAAAGCCACAAAGCTTCTCTCCTTAAAAACTTCAAATGAAAAGCTAAAATCCTCATTTGCTCTTGAGGATCAGTCTGTGATCGACATCTGTGGGGAGCAATCACAACTACAGTTAAGTGAAGGCAAAGCTCTACCCAGTGTTCAAAGCACTCATTCTCTCAAGGTGGCCCTCACCCTAAAGATCTGGATCATCTTAAGAGATTCTGGACTTGCGAAGGTAAACTCTTCCTGACCATGACAAGCCAGGCTAAAAAGAACATGGCCATAATAACCCTCTTTGTGTGGCACACTGATGAACTCCATTTAAGAGCAAAACTTAGAAGAACAGGTGCTTTTTCCATTGGGTGCTGGCCTCGGGTGAGGTGGCGGTTGGCACTTACGGCCATAGGACTGAAGTCTGAGTCGCAGTAAGTCAGCAGCTCGTGCAGTGTCACTCCGAAGGACCAGACGTCAGAGGCGATGTAAAATTTACACTGGATTAAACATTCTGGAGCGTACCTGAAAGGGATGCAGGGAATAAACCTTTATTTCCTCCAAAAAAATGACAGAATACCTCAGGAAAGCCATTTCTCTGGTTTGTTGAATTCAGACTACACATGCATCTGAGTGAATGGAGTACCAGTCCCTCCTGCTGCCACAGTGCACATCTGAGATGAAGCAGCAACCTAGAGGCTCACAGCTGTCCTCAGATGAAAGATTTGTGCTCCTCTTGTCCCAGGAGACAATCTTCTGGGGGAGGAAACAGGTCCTTAAAGACTAACCCCAGGTTACAGCCCCGCAAGCTCAGAGCTAGCATCCTCCCAGTGTCACTGCTGGTGAATGATGCCCAGGTGTCAAGGCATCCCAGAACTAGTTTCTTGAATACTCCAAATTCACTTGCCACTGTCCCAACCACTACTCCCCAGGCTTGTGGCTCCTACATGGGCTGGTGAAGTAACCCAGGTTCCCTTGTTCCTTTTTCCCCCCTTTCATGGTGACCTTCAGCACAAACTCTTCAAGTCTCTGGTGGCTTTTACTGAGATTAATTCCTGGCTCCCAAACGCAGGTTCCTCAACTCTGACTCTGTAGCCACCCACTACAAACCTTTCCAATGACCCTCTGTTTCAGTTCTGATTCCTACCAGCCACACAGCACAGGCCTCCTTCCACCCAACCTGTGTGAATCTTCCAACTTTTCCCTAAATATGCGTGGTTTTTCAAAAACCACGCCTGAAGGCTGGCCACCACACCCATAACTCAAGACATCACTGACTAGGTCACCATATCTCCAGCATTTGGCACAAATAAGGGCCTTAAAACACTTGGTTTTCAAACGAGAAAAGGCCTTGCAGGTTGAGGGGGCTACGTGTCTGCAGAGAGACACCAGAATGAGTCTTAGAGCGTGGGCAGCTAGTGTTCTGGGCTGAGATATGGTAGATGTGTGGTTCCTAAAATCTAGCCAAGTCTCCCTTCTCTAGCATCTCCTTGACTCTGGCCTGTGTACCTTGTGGCCCTGTGACCGCACCAGGCCTTCTGCATGATGCATTATCAAAGACCAGCCTCCTCCACCTGCTCACAGTTATGAGCACTGTGGTGGGTGCTGTTGCACACGTGAAGCTACAGAGAGAGAAGCTGCTGATGGCCAAAACTCTCCCACTCTTGGCAAAGCTGGTGCTATCAAATTTCAGCTTTCAGCAGAGCAGCTGGTGGACATCCAAGCATGGCTAGACAGAGCCCTTCAGCAGTGGTTAGAACCCATAGGCATAGTTAAGATGATTCACATACCAGAACACTGGGCTGTCGCGGTCATCCTTGACTGTGTAGTACTCCTTATCGGTTTCAATTGCTTTAGTTAAACCAAAGTCTCCAATCTTCACCTGGTGTTCACTCTCTACAAGGACATTTCTTGCTGCTAAGTCCCGGTGAACGTACTGTCGAGAACCCAGATAGTCCATCCCCTAAGAGAGAAGCGTGGGTCAAGCCCATTGCAAAAGTCACTTCAGATTGTGTTTCCTATATTCTACTTCACAATGAGAAAGAAAGTCATTTTGTTCCCACATCACTAACAGTTTTTGTTGTTCTAAGATTAAAAAGTCCAAACTGAAGCTGTTGGACCAAACAAACCCGCTTGCTTGTGTAGTGGATGGAGGCTTATATTTCATGTGAATGGTGTAGAATAAAAAAACCCAGTCTTATTACAGTCTCCCACTGAGGTATAATTACTAACCAATTACACAATATATTTTGTATATATCTGTTTTGTTTTTGTAAACATGCTGCCTTTCTGTTTGTGTGTTTTTACCTTACAGATCTGGATGGCATAGTTTAGCTGCTGTTTGAGATTAATTTTGTTCTTATTCTTTGGCAGATATTCCTTTAGGCTTCCCGAAGGCAGAAACTCCATGATGAGCTTGATACCATTCCCCCCTGTTCAGGAGAAACTGGCATGAGGATGAGGCCGAAAACAGAGGGGAGCAGGGAGCTCTGCGGAGAGGGCCTGGAGGGGTTTCAGCCTAGCCTCTGAAGCATGGGGAAGAGTCTACCCACTGGCACATAGACACTTCCACCGTGACAAGGAGTCACAACCCCAGGTCCTGCCTCAAGCACAAACCTTAGCAGGATAATGCAGCCCTAGTGCTCTGTGCACCACTAGGCAAATGATTGGTTTAAAATTTAGAGTCCATACCCTTTCACTACCAGCTTAAAGCACACACATGAATAATGCACTGAATAATGCACTGCCTTGCAAACAAGGCACAAGTATTAGTGAATAC